ATGTTTACTGAGAAAAATGGTGACGTGTTCAATACTTATTTTACCCGCTGTTTGACTGAACTGCCAACTCTCGCATTGGAAGAAGACTCCCCTAACCACTCAGCCACAGCCGCCTCAAATGTCGTTACATTTGGCATGTTATTACCATCATCTGGTGCAGAATCCAAGTATTCAGTGGATTGGATTTTGCTGCAACTGTCTCACCAGCTTTTCCTTTGTCATAGCAAATACATCAATCAAAGACAGTACGGCTGCAATCAGATGTGAAAGCTAGCATTTTTCTCAAAATGCTGACGTGCATCATAGTAATGCCTGGTTCTAACTGTGCAATTTTCAATCACTGCAGACTAAATCTTTTATTGTGAAGGAACTACTAAAGTTTCTGTGGATTTTAGCACTCGCATGACCAAAAAGAAATTAAAAAATGAAACTGAACTGCGACAACAGTGTTAGAAATTCTTTGTGGCTGCAGCTGCAACTGACACCTTCCCACCAATGAGCACGTCCACGGCGGTCTCTTTTTCCTCCTCTGCATCCTTTCAGGGCCTGCCTTAAGACCAGATCCTGTGATTTACTCATTACTGAACTGATCTCTTTGTATCTTTATAACGTATGCATATCTGCTGCAAAAAGAAACAGCACAGCCAAGCACCTGTGTATCGTACAGTATGCCATAGGGTAGGATCAAGATTCAAGGTTTTACATGCTTTAACATGTAAAAACCCACAAATCCAGCCGACTTTATATATAGCTGATATATAGCTGATATAGCTATATATAAATTATAATACTTATTAATACGCCACTTTAAACTCTCCATATAACATTCAAGTCATGTTTGTCTCTTGTAGAATTAAAATGGCAGTAACTGCTCATTTTGAGGACATCACAGAGACTGTGACATCATGACTTGTTTGAAAGTTTTAAAAACTGTTTAAATATAGGAAACCTTTTTACTGCTGTGGTCTACGCAAACTCAGCATTTATGTGTCTAATGGACAATACAATAATGGGTTAAATCTTCTTGCAGAGACAACACAAAAATACAAATAGTTTGGCTCCATCCAACTCTGCAAAGACAACAGAACCGTGGACACAGATGCAAGCCAATGTGTAACATCCTCTGATTACCTGCTATGTGGCACTTACAGCACATCTGTCGCAGACTTAAAAAAAAAAAAAAACATACCAGGTAAGCTTGAAACATTTAAATGCAGATATGCAGCCTGTCAGTTTTGTTTTGGAAAGAGGAAATTGATATTTGATAATGGAAAGGAATAGTAAAATAAATAACAGCAAGTAAATTTATTATTTTCATGATGATGCTAATGCTAGAAAACAGAACGTTAATTAAATAAGTTAGCAAAAATATTTTGGTGTACTTGAGATAATTCGAATGAACTGAAAAGGGACAGCTCATGATGTGGACCATTATTAGGCAACAGAGCACGACTGTTGATAAGACGTGGTTATTAGGGGTGGGAATCTTTTACTATCTCACGATTTGATTCGATTCAGATTTTTGAGGCCACGACTCGATTCAAAATCAATTTTTCATTCAAAAGTCAATGCGAGCCCATTTGTCGTGTTCCTAAAGTGCTTCATCTTCATTTTGCACACAGTGAAGCTCGTGTCAAACTCAGACTCATTCAGTAAAAAACAAAATGAGCCCAAATCTTTGCATTCAATGAAGACGGGGTCAGCTGAATCGCTTTCCTCCAGTTTTGTAGTTTCCTCTTTGTTTTGGTGCTTTCTGCGCATTCTTGGCTGTGTCTCAATTCATAGCTGGGCCACGTAGGCCACATCCTTGCTGGGCCAGGTAGGATGCTAAAAACTGCTGCGAAATGAGACGGTCTAGCCTTCGCCTGACGTTGGCTTCACGTGGGTTTGTGTGACCACGTGCTCCCCCGTTACCATAGTGATCAGTTTCATGTCAGACTTAAAATGCTTCGGGACGTGTTTACACGTCTTTYTACTGGAAGAATAAATTCACAGTTAAAAAGGTAAACGTAAATAAAGAAAACAATAATTTAGGTTTAGCTCCAGTATCTACAAAGGACATAACACATATTTTTTATTATTATCACGAAAATAAAGTCATAATATGCGAATAAAGTTGTAATATTATGAGAATAAAGTCAGTGCTTGGTGACCTTAAGAATGCTGGAACAATTTATTCATTTAGTATAATGCTTAAAAGTTTTTTAATGAGATATGAACAAAGATTTGGTTGATATTTKTATTTTTGTTGTGAAGTTGTTATTTTAAATTATATTGTGTATTAAGTTGAGTTTTATTATTTGTATGTTGTACGTTTTTTAGATACATATTTTTTATTGGGGCAAATGTTATAAGATTTTATTCTTTCTGCTCCTTTTCATTTGAATATGTTGTGATCGTGTTTTTTTGACACAACATTGTCTATTTGTTTGTTTCTATTATTATTTGGTTTTCTTTTTATTTATTTATTTTTTGTTATTTGTTTGCTGAATTAAATAAAGTTATTTTTTCCCCTCATACCTTCTGTGTACAGCCAGGTGTTTCTCTGTGTTTATAAAGTAGTCCGTGATGACCTGGATCACTGTTAGATTAATATGCTTTCTTCCAAATTAACTACATGACGACTAAATCTGTCAATGCATCTATTAATTACAATACAGCTTCAGTTTATCATATAGTCGTTTGCACAATTTCCATGTCCTGCTACTTATATTTGGGTGCTAAAAGATAACTATTTATTTATAAACAATAAAGAACAACTTGACAACATCCTCATTTTAATGCAGTGATGACTGCATGCTTTTTCACGTAAAGGCTAGGATATTAAGACTTTTTTCTTGAAGTATGACTTTAATCTCGTAATATTACGATTTTTATTCTCATAATATGACTATTCTTGTAACGTTATGATTTTATTCTTATAATCCTTTATTCTCGTAACTTGTAGTTGCATTTTCTTTTATTTAACATCTTATTGCAGCATAAATTTCATCAGCTAAGTTGCTAAACTTACTTTTAAAAAACAAATCCTTCGGTCCGTGGTGAATTTCCAAACTGCGCCGACACGTTAAAAAAATAAAAACACCACGTCTTCATTTCTCTGTTTATTTTGCTGCCCCTGCATTGAATCCTGGGACATCCTCGGCTGGTAAGGATACATGGATGCATCCTCGGATTTCGACAGGAAGTAGGACGCATTCCTGGGCCGCATGATGAGGAGCCTTCGAATTGGGACAGTCCGGCGCGGAACAATGACGTATGCGGCCGACAAATGTGCACTTATGAGGACCCAGCCCCTGAATTGAGACACAGCCCTCATGTTCCAGAACCAGCTCCATGTGACGTCAGGACATCCCTGGCCACATCAACAAATTAATGATATATTTGCATGTAACTTTAGATGTCAACTGTAGACAAATGGAACTGGGTGTAACAGAGCTGGTGTAAACAACAAGGTCTTGTTGCTTCAATGAAACTGTTTAACATTTAACCTAATGTGAAACTCCGCTCATTAATTTAACTTTCCATCATTTAAAAAAAACACACTTCTAGACTCAGTGGCCACTTTATTCACCAATAAATTACATTGTAATGAAAGGCAGCGGAATTATTATTTTTTTAGGTTTGGGCATAATCGTATCGTGTGCAATTAATCGTCAGAAAAACATTTAATCGATTATTTTTTGGCATATGACGATTACTACAATTACTGCCACCAGGCAGAGTCTGCTGCTCGATGCTCCTCTCCGCTTCAAATATGACAAACATTAAAAAAAAGTTCTATAATTTATTTATCTATCAACACAATTTAAAAATTTGATGTACAGCCTGAAGTCTGTAATTTTGACACAGTTTGGAAATGATTTTTATGAAGAGCAAATCTTTCCTACAATTGGTGATGTGACTAGGATATAAGGGTGTCCAGGAACTCCAGAGAATTAATCGTCAAATTAATCGTTTTTGGCTAAATACCACAATTAATCGTGAGTATTTTTTTGCCAATATTGCCCAACCCTAATTTATTCTTTTTCATAGATAATAACCATTTTATAGGGCTTATGTGTATATCCTCTAAACCACTATCAAAAAATGGGACAACAAAAGGACACGGCAACATTCCTACGAGATCCTGAGAAATAAATTAGTGGGTGCCAAGCTTGCAGACTGAAAAAACAAAAACAAAAAATAAAACCAACAAAAAAACAGGTTAAGTGTTCCAGCACCAGAACAAAATGACATAAAATTTACTTTATTACAAAAACTATTCACTGTCAGTGTAATCTGTAAAAACTAACATTTTACACAAAGACAAATGTATGGTCTGTCCAGGATCCTGGGACATAGACTAGCAGGGAGTGTTTGCACTTTGTCTCCTTTTCTCCAGTAAGTTTTTCACAGCATGAGACACTTTAGACAAGTAAGAAATGATTATAAACACATTTGTGTTAACAACTACAAAAGAGAAACTGTAAATTTGTATAGAAATGCAACATTTAGCTAATTATTCATTAAACAAGTTCAATTTGGACATTAAATATTGGACAGAAAAATGTAAAATTAATCAAACCCAACGCTGGCAACTGAGATTTTCTGCTTGTAATATACCAACAAATATTATTGCGTTTAGAAATAATACAACACAAAACGCATCTGGCTTGTTTTATGTGAAAATGCAGGCAAAGATGAGCAGATGTAATCAACCCACTGTGTATACCTGATGGCTGTGTGTGTCTGTCCTTCTCAAATACATGCAGTTTGATGCTGTGGTTTTGGCCGCTGCATCATAAACAGCGGATAAAAAAAAACACAGTGGGACACAATCAGCTCACGAAAACACTCATAAATACAGCTGCGGTGCGTTTAGTGACTCCAGCCACGCGTTAAATCTTTTTACACTTGCGCTATCTTACCTCCTAACAGGAGGCTAGCTTCATGCTTAGCATTATGCTAACTAGCATAGCAATAACAGCTAACTGCTTCGACTGATCAAGAGTGCTTACCAGATTAAAGCGCTCCGAGTTGCTCTTTTGTGCTTCGCCGCCGGATATTCTCTCGAGGATTATCGGTCTTTGATGTAACCTTACACGTTGGCTTTGTTTGTCAGCATCAAGGGAAATCGGTTGCCCCGTCCTCGACGTCTTCTTTCTTCTTAATGTAAACCTCCTGGAAACCGTTTTTTCTACCTTACTTTTCATGCACCGAGACCCGATATTGGATGGTTAATCAGGAAGTCTCGCGAGCTTTTCAGCACGGCGTCGATTACTTAACATGTAAATCCCCGGATGAGACGCTATACAGACCCGTGTCCATTAAGCGCATTTGTGTATTTATGGACAGTGACACGGAACTTGTACGTGCTTTATATACAAGCATCTGCTTATAACCAATGAGGAGGGTGCAGACACTCAGAGAAAGCCTGCCCCCTTCGTGCTCTGGCGCAGTCTTTGCCTGCCGGGGCGGTTGCACGAGTCCTTCCGGACGAGCGAACCCTGATCCTAGTCACAACCGAGGCACACAGCCACTGTTGTCTGTGGTGAGGGGTGTGAGTCCACCGATGATTGGAGTCCTCCCCAGGGCTCCAGAGCCCTCCCTGGGACACTCTCATAACCACCCCGTGTCTGCTGCTGCAGTGTCTGCAGTCTTTTGTGCACTAAGACCAACGTGCTCCCTCCTCTGGGTGTACCTGGCATTTAAAGGGTTAAGTTGCACACATCCATTTTGTGTGCAGGACTTGCCATAAAATGGCACCACTTTTTCTTGTGCTGGTCCACTTCAGTCCCCCAAGCACAGTAGGCATGTGCCAGAACTGTAGGTGCCACAGAGCAAATATAAAAGGGGGGAAAAAAAGAAAAAAAAAAGATCTGTTTTCTCTTTCAGACAGAAATAGGTTTGGAGCTTACATATGTTTAATATCATGTAACCATACAGTTCTAGCTGATGCATTTATGGTCCCAAATCATTGTTTTGATCTGCTAAGAATGAGAAGACGACAACCAATTCTAGACCACGTGTTTAAATATGTGCTTCAGAACTGTGCTAATGAACACGAATGCACTGCAGTGTGCTTTAAATGGTGTGACTCAGAGAGCACCGGAGTCCTGTCCAGAGCCTCGGTGCCTCCCCCGAGCCCCGTCATAGACATTCTGTGTATGCTGCTGCATCATCAGTCATTTGGGCACCGAGACCAGTCTGCAGACTCCTCTCAGTGTACCTGGCATTTAAAGGGTTAAGTTGCACACATCCATTTTGTGTGCAAGACTCGCCATAAAATGGCACCTCTATTTCCATTGCTGGTACACTGAAAACCCCTTCAGCAGAGTAGACATGTGCCAGAACTAGGTCCCCCCCACCCCCTCACAAAAACCACACACAAAAGGAAGAAAAGGGGGAAAAAAATCCCAAGCCTACTACCAGCTGAAAGGAAAGGGAGAGCAAGAGCCTTCAGGTTTTTAACAATCAGTAATCATATATATGGTTCTTGCTAGTGCACCCATTGTCCCACATCATTGCTTATACCTCCAAAGAATGAAAATATATTTTTTACATATATCTAAACCATTTAATAATGTCCTTTTACACTACGAATACTCCTAGGACTAACCAAGGGCACTGCAGTATGCTTTTATGGTGTGACTCAGAGTGCACTGGAGTGTGCTCCAGTGTGTTAAGTGTCCCCCCCTGAGCACTGGCACGGCCATGTTGTGCTACGGCAGTATCTGCAGTCATTTGGGCACCAAGACCAGCCTGCAGACTCCTTTCAGTGTCCCTGGCATTGAAAGAGTTAAGTTGCAGTCGTCCATTTTGTGCTCAGCCACCATTTCTGTTGCTGGTACACCCTTCAGCAGTGTAGACATGTGTACAAACCAGGTCTCTGAGAGAGCATACAAAGGGGAGAAAAGAAAAAGATGCCCAAGCCTACTACTGGCTGTAAAGGAGAACAGGATCTTAAACACGTTTAATTTCATGTAACCATACAGTTCCAGCTGGTGCATCCATGATCCCAAATCATTGTTTTTATCCAAGAATGAGAAGATGACAACCCAAATAAGTGTATACCATTCAAAGCATTTAACTACTTCAAATTTGTGCTAATGATCATAAAGGCACTGCAGTTTGCTTTCAATGGTGACTCAGAGGGCACTGGAGTCCTCTCCAGAGCTTTGAAGCCCCCCTGAGCCCCATCATAGCCAATCTGTGTATGCTACTGCATTATATGCAGTCTTTTAGGCACCAAGACTAGACTRTATACTCCTTTCAGTGTATGTGGCATTTAAAGGGTTAAGTTGCACACATCCATTTTGTGCACCACCCTTCAGCAGAGTAGGCATGTGCACAAACTAGGTCCCTTAGAGAGCATACAAATGGAGAAAAGAAAAAGATGTCCAAGCCCACTACTGGCTGAAAAGGAGAACAGGAGCTTACATAGTTTAATTTTCTGCAACCACACAGTACTTGCTGGTTAACCCATCGTCCCGTATAATTTTTACCTCCTAAAAATCAGAAGATTACAACATCTCACCAACGTGGCATGTTCAAATGTGTACTCTACACTTATTACACTTATTGGCAGACCAGGTAATCCACTAGAATTTGATTTCATATTAAAAGTCTCAGTCCAAACAGAACTAGGCAAATAACAGCCTGACTTGTAGTAACCAATTCATCTATTGCAGTTTACCATCACACATACAATCTGGATTTTTCATTTAGGTTTGTCTGTGTTTTGTTCATTATTCCAGTGCTGTTGATCCATTTGAACCACATTGGTCCATTTTGTTGTATGCTCTGAGAAAAGAACACCACTGAAGTTCACCTGTGGGAACAATGGTAAAACCATACTTTTGCCACAGATCACTTGCTCTCACAGAGTGTGGCTCCAAATTCAAGTGTGTGATCCCTGAACTAAGGTAGCATCAAGACACTACTTCCACACTTATCATAGATAGCAGTTATTTGCATTATCTCACTACTCACTTACTGGTTTAATTTTTAGTAACACTTCTGCACCTTCAGTGGTTACATCCCATAAGTGACTGGCCCAAATGACAGTCCCTGAAGAGTCCTGGGTTGTGTTTAACAAGAACTAGTTTGACAGACTTCCTGGCAACGCTCAAAGTCAAAGGTGCGCATAACTTATACTATTAAGTGAACAGAGCAGAAAGCTATTTCTCAAAATGTGGAAGAAAGTGGTAAACTAACTAATGTTGACAACAAGGACTTCTAGAGAGGCTATTACAGTGGTGTTCACTGGTATAACTAAGGAGACTTGTAATGGAAGTTTGAGTCCTGCCAATCCTAGACTCCTCCACAGATCAAAAGCAGTATAAACTGTGGATGGCTTTCATGGTGCTCGTCTTCGAAGAGGAAAAGAGCAAGGAAGAAAAAAAAAGGGCAAACTGGAAGTGAAGTGCAGACTACAACACTATGTACATGGCTATGTCTTGTTAGTGGTCTCTGAGTTGGCTCAATGATGGACTGTCCTGCCTGTCCAGTACTCATAGGCTGCAAGGAGAAGCACCAACTCCCTGCGACCCTGAACAAGTTTATGCAAGTACAGAAAATGAGCAAAGTAAGACTGCATCACTAATCTTGCTCAACAGTGAAAATTGTTTAATCAATGTTGTTKTTTTTTTTAAAGTATAGCATAAAGGCTTGGCAATAGTTCTCTGACTGTGGAAAAACTAATTGGTTCTTAGCTAAAACCAATTTAGACCAGACTCCATAAATTGGCAATAAATTAACTCCAGAACCTCTTTCATTTAATAGTCAAACTGATGTCACCAAGGCATGTGTGTGTTGTAGCAGCTGGCAACCCCCCCACCCCATAAGGAGCTAGACCCCTGACTAAAACCCATTTTTAACTGGTTTCTACAGCCAGAGGGCCTCCATGGAGTCACATAAAGTCTCCTCCAGTATAGCCAGTATATAATTCCAGTATTATCTTATCCATAGAAACAACAATCTAGTGTATAAAGTTTTTAAAAGCAATTGGATCATGTATGCACTTTAAATTGTACTTTTGACCCTAATTACCATTCATAAATGACATGATAATGCACACCATTGCAAAGTGGAACTTTAGATGCCAGCTGGTCATATTAAGTGACACGATGTTGAAAAGCTGTTCTTTATTACTGTCCAGCAAAGGCCCTGCTCAATGCTATTGTTGCACAATTTCTTTGGTGCTAGTTGTCAAAACAGAAAAGAATTGTGCTAGGGAACCACTAGCCTCTTTCACAATGCACCATTAGGCTCTGCCTGAAACACCATATTTTTGTGTACACTGTGTAACAACTGAAATGGAGGGCTGAAGCCAAGTAGCCGCTGTTACAACTCGGACCTGCCGAAGAAGTCACAGAGCTGAGGGGGGTGGGGCTTAGAACTCTGTTCTAGCTAACATTTGGATGTTCAAGACTCTATTTTCATATCCTAGCAGGGATAAAAATTATTACAATTCTTTTAAGTGTTGGGACACAGAGCAGTTTTTTTAAATCAACATCTTTGATGTGTGTATAAAAAATTCTACCAATGACATTTTCTTGAAAAATACAAGACCCATTTTTTTCTTAAAACTCAGGAATACCATTCTCCAATACTTTACAAGATACCTCAAGCTGGGACTTAAGATGCCTTCTGGGCACCTCAGTGTGATTTCTGAATGGACCAATGAGCCAAGGTGGGTTGAAGCCAACCCACGCCTGATGAGCCTTTGTGCCGCAAGGGGAGGTAGTAACAGAGGTGAAACGGTTAACGTGTGAAACTGTAAGTCAGCTCTGCAGCTTTGCTAATTTGTTGACATGATGACATATGGTCTGTGCATCTATCTTAGAATACAGAAACAGAAATATTACCAAATGAAGATCAATGACACAACAGCAACTTTATATTTAGTTTTTAAAAATGGTAAAATTCACCACCAAGAGAACTGCTAAACGTAGGTATTCATGATGTTTTGAAACGTCTGTCATATTTAATGTGTTGCACTATATTTTATTTCTGAAAGCTCACATCTACTGTATGTGGGATGTGGCTGATCAATAATTTCTCAACAGCCAGTGGCAGCATCAAGATAGAATGGTCTGTGCAGCAATTCTCTCTTACAGTACTGAACTTATGAAAGAGCCTTTAAATTTACCAAGAAAAAGGACAGCAAAAATATAAGGTAATAGATTTCCCTTAGTTTTAAAGTTTTATTCCAGCAGTAAACGCTATTAAATTAGCTTTATTTTGTCTTTAACACTATTGCGCAGTGTTTCCTTCAGTTTCCCCCCTACATCGCAAAATGAATATAATTATGCAAGTCATACCGTTATGGCACTTTACACATACTTCTCAGATTAAATTTAATCCTAGCCTAGCCTTGAATTAGAATTTCTCCAGTTAACCAGCCAATGAACAGTAAATACAAAGAGACACAAATGGGAATTATACAGTTTTGTGCAGGATTCATAAGTGCGAGCTAGTAATGTTGAAATAATCACTACAACAAAATTAATCTAAAACTAGGGAACAAAAGGTCAGTGTGCCTGCAGCTCATGCACAAGTCAAAATGTATAATGGAATTTTTTGCAGTTTCATAATTTTTCCAATTAAAGATTATCTACTTTACATCCATCAATTAGGGCTCTCAATCCAGATTTTTGGGCTCCCAATACAATCAGATTTTTTTAATGATTAGTCTTTTCGATACCGATCCAATAGCTTTATTTTTTAATTTCTTTCCAAGTGACAAGGTTGGCCGTATTAAAGCGAGCCCGGCTGTTCCCACCACGAGAAACATCCAGTTTGCAGATTTTGCAAGATGCAGTTTCAGCATCATTGTTTTCCATTGAAAAGTGTTCCCACACTGTGGACATTAGGGGTGTAAGAAAATATCGATACACTGAAATATTGCGATATTTCATTTCCTGATACTGTATTGATATTCCAAAGCCCTGTATCGATTTTTTTATTAAGGTTTAAAATGTCAACTTTCCTGCCAGCCATTCATTTTTATGTTGTAGTTCAGCCTCTGACCAGTAGTTGGCAGCAGTGAGCCAGCCATTTGGCTACTCTACCTCTTGAGGTAGAGGCCATTGTTAAGTGTTGGGTGACCATATTGTAAATTAATATTAAAAACTAAAAGCTGCTAAAATATATTTTCAAACTATTTATTGTCAAATTTAGTCTAATAATTGAAAACGGATAAAATAAGAAATATGAAACAAATAAAATACATACAAAGCAGAACACAGCTAAATGTATCAAAAGCATGTCTCTGTAATATTAGAATTTTGAGACAATGAATTTTGGTTTTTCATTTTTTTCCCCTGTAAGAGGTTTTTATTTAATAGAATTTTTGGACAAAAAAATCGCAATATATCACCTTGCTTGTAGTATCGCAATATATCGGGATATATCGTATCGTGACTCCTCTGTCATGATATGTATCGTATCGCCAAATTCTTGCCAATACACAGCCCTAGTGGACATGGTTGCATACTTGTGTGCATCTCGACTTCTTAACAGCAGTTGTAAAGCATGATGATGCTGAAGACTGTTGCGAAAACTGGATCAGCCCGATCACATGACTAAATCTGATTCTACCCGATTTTCAAAAAATGGCCATATCTGCCACAGATACCGATACTATCTGATTGGGACATCCTTACTATCAATCAAAACTTAACATTTATGAACAAGTCAACTTCATGTAGAACAAATGCACCCTTCTTCAAGGCAAAGCAAAAAGATGAATCAAAGCAAGACTGAAAACACTTAAATATTCCCCAATTTTTTATTTACTAAATTCTCTAAGTGACAATGTTAGGTTTTTAAAATGTTTGCAAACACTTAAAAAGTACTTTAATGGCATAAATGCATTTTAATAAAAAAAGAAACAATATGTTTTACAAGAAATTGTAAAGTCACTAAAACAATGAAACTCAAAAATATTTACCGCTGCTAATGAGACTTCCAACCTAAAAGCAATCAAAGCTGGTGGTAGGTTTTAGGTTGATGCTTTTATGTTTTCCACCACAGGCATATGTTGTAATTTTTCTTAATCTTTTACAATGTGCATTTGATAAACAAAGCCCTCTTCCCCTATGCTTTCTTTTTTGGCTTTCAGTCCTTAGTTGTTTTTTCTGAGCCATGAGATGTTTGGTGCTGAAGGAATGTGTCCAAGCACAAGAATGTCTCTTTGCACTCTGTGCATTCGTAAAGAGCATCTGAGGAACTTCCTTTATCAGTTTCTTTTTGGTCCACACAGTCATCCTCCATATCTTCGACATTGTTATTTTCAAGGGCCTTTTCAGCATCTGTTCCAGTGTCATGAGAAGTTTGTCCAATGTCATCGCCTGCTTTTTCAATTTTGGGGTGATTTTGAAGATGAAGCTCAAGGGAGGATGCATTCTTGAACTGAGCTGGACACTGGAGACACTTATTTGGTTCTTTCTTGTGGTAGCGTAAGTGTCGTTGATATACACATAAAAGCCCAAATTTTTTCCCACATTCATGACACTTGTATTTGCCTCGGGTTGTTTTTCCTGACTGTCTATCTTGTGAACTTCTCTCTGCTGTCTGTTCATTGTTCGAGGTGTTCTYGTCAGGAGTGTCTGTGCTTTTCTCAACATCAACAGAATTGGAAGGTCCATTTTGTGGATTAGTGTAGAAGTGTTTCAATGCTGGTTTTTTTTCTAATTCAGCTTTGTGGTACATAGCAAGGTGTCTTCTTAAGTCACAGCGCTGGGGAAAAAGTCTACCACAAACTGTACAATTGTGCATGGTACCTTTATGATATCTCATGTGTCGAGATAAACTACTAGAATGATTAAAAACACGATGGCAGTGCTTGCATGGATGTAGTTTTCCATTTGGATCTCTTCTTTTTCTGCCTTTAGATAGGATTCTTCGCTTGAAAATATTCAGTGACTCCTGATTAAGCCTATCTATTTCTTCCTGTGTTTGATGTGTTAGATGATGTTCTTTCAGATCAGACAACTTCTCAAAACGATCCCCACATAAACCGCATCTGTATGGTGTGAAGGTGGGTTTCAAGTCACCCTCATCGCTGGTGTCCTTCGAGGTTTTACTATCTCCATTCTTTACATCATCAGATGTGCCGTTGTTGTGGCAGTTTACAAGAGGCATGTCTTCAGGATCCTTAGAATCCACTTCCATTTCTGTATCAGATGAAAAAAGGACCTCAGGTTCTTGTCCCTTGCAGTAATACACAGAGTGTATCTGGAAATCTGACATCCAGAAGAAACTCAGCTTGCACTTCTTACAGGTATAAGCTTTCTCCGACCTTTTTTCATCATTTTCTCCCAAAGCTTTGGGGAAGGAGTGATTTTCTTTTTGATGAGCATTTAGTGCATCCATTTTGAGGAATCTCTTACCACAATGACCACAGTAGTTAAATCGTTCACTGACGTGGCTCTGAAGATGCTTCTTGAAGTTATGTTGATCTTCAAAGATCTTGCAGCACAATGTGCACCTGTAGCCTCTCTCTGAGTTTYGATTTTGCTGGTGGCAATGTAAACTCTGCAGACTGTTAAATGACTTGTTACATRTTTCACAACGATAGTGACTCTGCTGAGTCTTGCCCAAGTTCAATGGTCTAGGCTTTAATGCATCTTTGAGTAAAGAGGGCTGTGACCTCAAAATTGGAGACTTTGGCTTAACAGGCAAGGGTAAAGGTGATGGCAATACCCCAGGAGACACTGGTTTCACAGGGGAATTTGAAGAATGGGATGGTGGCAAACCATTTATAGCTGTCAATGTACCATTTTCCTGAAGCACATATTCCCGAGGAATTTCAAATCCATAAGATGAGCCATCAAAGGAAAATGACTCTAAAGGTCCATGAACGATCATATGGGTCAACACATTGGAGTACTGACTGAATCCATCACCACACTCGGTGCAGATGAAGGTACTTGATTCTCCACTTAATTGTGCTGAAGCAACATTATTCACTGCTGTCTGTCTTTCCATGACTAAATTATTTTGTCTGTGAGCCGATGGCATCACTTTGGACCTGATTGTGCAACAAAATTACTATCCAGACACAGGTGAAAATGGTCCTCATATGGCACTCAGTAAAGCCACTTAGCACTTAGGTTAAAAAATGTCCTCAATAGATGCATGGTTGCTCCTGTCATAGTCCACTTTGTATTTGCACCTGTAAAGAATAAAAAATATATATTAAAACTACATTCAAATTGCAAATACATGAAATGCAAAGTATTTTCAAAATCTAAAAACATTTAATAAATAATTTGTTAAATACAAATACAGCAAGGCAATGAATGGATGTGAGTTTTTTGTTAACTCTCAACCACTAGATAGACCTACAAGCCAATCAGAATTAAGGTGGGGGCGGGCCTTGAGTCTTAGCAAAACATGGGATTCAGAAATGAGCAAGCACCAAGCATAGACTGCAAGTTCATGAAGTCAGGGGAAGACACTACAGATAGACAATTACATAAAGAATAAATTCTGCCRGGCTTGGATAGTGGTGGGAGGTGGGTAGTGATTTTACAGCTTTAGTAGCAGATTAGTAGTACAGATTTTAACGCTTTAATAGAAGTTGTGTGTTGTTGCTACGATCTCTGCTCCCTGTTCAGAAACTACTGGACTTCCGTGGAGAGCGGGGTGTGTCTGTGYAAATGGTAGGACCCCCAGCTTACAGTGTCGATACCTTCTTCCAAAATCCTAATTAAAGCCCACCAAGCTGCCATGGTGGGTTGAAACCAGCCTGCTGCTTTGTGCCTCTGTGGCACCAAGCAAAGTAATAACAGAGCCACTGCGTGGTTTCAGCATAAACAAACATCCACAAACTTTTGACCAATCATTCGGTAATTCCCCTTTTCAACTAGTGCCTTTACAGCACGGTTTGACTTGGGTCAGCTCTGTTTAGGTGGTTTTCCATTATGGTACGTTCACACCAAACGCGTTTTGAGCAGCAAAAATGCACTCAACGCCTCAAGTTGGACGCTCGACTTTCAGACCGGGACACAGACTAGACGCATGTCTGAAGAGAGAGGAGCGTCTTGGGTTTTTTTCCAGTCTGTCTTCGGTGGATAGAATAAAGAAAATGTCTTTGCTTTATTTACTAAAGAGCAAGCAAACATTGCACACAGCAGATGATTAATTCACCAGATAATTTAGAGGCGGTTTGTTCGGTTAGTTTCACCACTCCAGGAGCTGCGAGCTGACAAAACAATTTTTTTGTCCCGAGCCCAGTTTAACACCGCTGTCAGTTTAACGAGCTGCTGACCCACATCGGTGCTGATATCTCCAGCCAGAACACAAACTGCAGACGGTCGATTTCAGCTAAAGAGCTCCTGTCCATCTGTTTCAGGTTAGTGGGCAACATTCAGGAAACTGTCACGTGGGAAAATGAGCCTCTGCGATTGTTTGACACCGCGCGTCGAGCAGCAAAAGTTCAGATTTTTGAACGTGACTGTCGGCTGCTTTGGACACACTGCATGCATGGAAAACACTCTACTGCTACCTTCCGCGCCGCGCTAAACGGACTTGACGTGCTGCAAGACCCCTAGAGGCGCGTCCACCATAGACTTTGCATGTAAACCGGTCGCTCCTGCAGCTCAAAATGCGTTCGGTGTGAACTTACCATTACACTTCAGTAACAGCTCTGTGGGTGGGTTCTAGGCGGTCCCAGGATCTGAAATTGACACTACATGCTTTTGCCTGCTGGTGGCACTAATGCTCCATTAAGCTATTTGCCAGCCACCATTAAACATAGTAGAAGAAGACCCCAATCATAACAAGGATGACATGGTGACTTTTTGCCAGATTCCAAAAAGAATTAACCAGGAAAAGACTGCAAGCTGCGAGGTAAAACACTCTAGGAGAGCGAAGGAAGTTCTAAAGCAGTATGAAGCTGAAGACAGGACACAATCTACATGACGTCTGAGGGTAAGCTAATGCTAATCTGCTAGTGAACTATAATGTTGATTAAATAAGGTTTAGTAATAAATATGTTGTGTGTGTGTTTCAGAWGAATCTCCTGCAAATAAGTGTCACAAACCTACAGTCTGGACATGTGGGATCATTGTTTAGATTTTTGTTCCTGGTTTTACAAACTCGCAGTGGTTGCAGAACTTAAAAGATGTTGGTTAATAAAGATGTTTTAAAATGACTTGACTTTTKTTATTTACACGTAATGCAATATGACAAGGTGTACATTAAAATTGGTGGAAGACTCGAAGCTRTGAGCTGAATGGTACAATTTTTGTCAGGAAACTTTGATAATGRGAGCCAGTTTWAGCTGTTYGGATGGACCATGCAGAGGCCTTAACAAAACAAGTTGCTGTCAACATTGTCCTCAAAGTCTAAAGCAGTGGTGCCCAAAGYCRGTCCTCAAGGGCCGGTCTCCTACATGTTTTAGGTGCTGCCCTGGTTCAACACAGCTGAACCGAAGGACTGCGAGGGCCTATGCAGACCTTGATGGAATATTGARGAAGCCTACTAATTAGGCACTCCTTAGGTTCARCWGTGTTKAATAGGRCAGGACCTAAAACATGCAGGAGACCAGTCCTTGAGGACCGACTTTGGACACCACTKGTCTAAAGGAATACTCCYGAAACAGTTYTGAGAAAAATAGCCACAAAAARACTCCATCTTTAAGCAGTCTGACAGTCACAATTCATGAACTGAGAATAGACGACGGCTTTGAGAAATAAAATAAGCTTAGTGGAACTAAAAGTGGTGTGAGGCAGAACTCAGCTGTGTTGACCAAAGCACTACTCTTTAAATGTTTAGCAGCTCTCTTTGTTGTTCAACTTTTTTTTAAACTGAATCCAAAGTTGCTAGACATCAGTAATATTCTTCTCTGTAATYAATCTGTTCATTCTTGTTTCGGCTTTAAAATTTCTGTGGCCCATGTGGTCAATACAGGCTTTATGATAATACCTTGTCATATCTTTAAGCCACTGAACTTTTTAACAAGTTGACTGTTACAACTCTGTTACTACCTTGCTTTGTGTTACAAGGAGCATCAGATGGGTTGGCTTTGACCCCTCTCATCCCCAGTTTATTCAGAAATTGCACCAAGGCAATCAGAAGGCATTTAAGAATCCTGGCTTGAAGTGTTTTGTAAAGTGCAGTGTTTCCCCTATCATTATACAGGCGGGGTGGGGCGGGCCCCCATGCCAAGGAGACGGCCCGCCCCTCTAAGAATTTCACGGCACGTAGTCATTTTTATTTAAATAAGGCCAGAGCTATTTTTTGCGACCCTCCATTTCCAACTCGCCAAACTTAGGGGAAAAGATGGCGCAGAGCGAGGCTGAGCGCTGTGTGTGGTCCCCACAGAGATAGGAAGACGTGTGTGAGATTAGACAGCAATGAAAACTCTGCTTTTAATCACGTAGCACCGATGCATGCATACTACCTTATCAATAATTACTACCTTTTTTTTTTCTCTGTGGGTGGGGGTCAGCTTCACTCAGCTGCAGGTGAACACCTCCCGGGTCTCCTGGACTATTTTCCACCAAGGATTACGTCGTATTTTATATTTACTATATTTCTAAAAGCACTTCACAGCATTTCCCCCTGTCTGTTCAGCTGTGTGAAGCTGACACCCCACCCACGTCAAAAAATCCATCAAATAGTCAGAATCGTTAGTGCTCCGTTTGTGCAGGTTTGTGCCGTTAAAAGTGTCGTTTGTGCAGTTTTGGTTTCCGAGATATTAAATATATTTTTTGGTCATCTAGAGTTCACCATCACCCCATATCGCTCCAAAAACAAACCAAAGTGGGCTAGGTCATTAGTGCTTCGTTTGTGCAGGTTTGTGCAGTAAAAACTGTCGTTTGTGCAGCTTTTGTTTTCGAGATGTTAGCAGTTATAATTTCGGCCGATGACGTCACCATTTCGGAGCTTGCTGGGGGGACGATGATGTCATCGCGTCAAAGTAAAAACGTGTAATATCTCAAAAACTGTAACAGCACAAACGCTCATT